AGGGGGGAGGATGTGCTACAGATATGTGACTTAGAGGTTTGTCAACAAATTTGAATCCCAGTTCACACAAGCTAGAGAACAGAGAAACAAACCCCAGAAAACAAACAAAAAACATGTTATGATATCTATGGGACGAGTGGAAATTTCAACATTGACTGGATTTCTGATGATGTTAAAGAATTACTGTTAATTTTTGCCCTGGCAGGTGTGTTCAATGGTTAGAGTGTCAGCCTGCGCTCCAAGGGGTCTCAGGTTTAATCCCCGGTCAAGGGCATGTACCTGGGTTATGGGTTCAATCCACAGCCCCTAGTACCTGGTAGGAGGCAACCAATCAATGTGTCTCTCTTACAATGATGTCTCTCTTTCTCTCTCTCCCACTTCCCCCTCCCCTTTCACTCTCTTTAAGAAGCAACGGAAAAAATATCCTCAGGTGAGGATTACAAAAAAAGAATTACTGTTGATTTTTAAACTTCAAATCATTAAGTGAGGGGGGATTTTGTTCAGAAAATGAGTGGAGATCTAAGAGGCTGGCACCCTTTCTGTCTGCAATACAGAGGCCCCTGGGCAGGTTCCAGGCACCAGCCCATCCGCACAGGCCCAGAGGGCAGACCTGGCCCTGGGAGTGGGGCTGCGGGCCCTCAAGGGGTCTCAGGTTTACGCACAAGCACAAAGGTTTGCGCACAAACACAAAGCCCCAGGCAAACCTCAGCATAGGCTGGTTCTACCCTTCAAAGACACACCCCACCCCCCTCCCCACCCGCCCCCTCAGATTCTGCGGTCTTGTGTTTTGGCTTCATGAGGGTGCCAAGGGAGAGATGGAAAAAATGTCTTCTTTGCACTCCTGTCTTCCCTACCAGGAGGGTGAAGAAGGCTGACTTTCTCAAGTAGAGGCAACGTATTGGGAGGTTCGCAGGCTTAAGCTGAGGGGTGAGGTCTTTTTATGGTGACACTTTGTAACTCACAGTGGGAGCAAACACTATAGTGAAGAGAAACTAAAGTGGAATGAGCTAGGCACAAAAGGACACGTACTGCATGATTCCACCTACATGAAATGTCCAGAAAGAGGAAGTGCAAGGAGGGTGCCGGGGGCTGGGGCAGGGGGCAGGGAATTTAATGGGAACAGATTTCTGTTTTAGATGATGAAAAAATTCTAAAATAGATAAGTGGTGGGTGATGGTTGCACAACCTTGTGAATGTACTTAGCACCACTGTATCGTACACATAAAAATGGTTAACACGGTAAACTTCATGTTCTGAGTATTTTACCACAATTTAAAAAATGAAAATGAAAAAGCCACCTAGAGAGAAAGGACTTGGAAAGCTAACTCCCTCTCGGATTATTTTAATTGTATAACGACTCCATACAGGGCACAGGGACGTTCTGCCTCCCCCTCACCCCGGGGCCTGGAACGGTGACTCAGCTGGGCGCCAAGGGCAGCCTCTGCTCCAGGAGGCGGAGGGGTCAGGGCAGAACCACACTTATCCCTGCTTCATAGATGAGCAAACAGAGGTGGTTCATGTTTTGTGAACTGTTTCTAGATGCCCCTATGGTGGGAGAAGTAAATTCTGGTCTCGAACAACAGCTCTCCAATTGCGATTGTAACTCCCTCTGAGCCTTGGGCTCCAGCCCTGAGACCAGACACTCGGTGAACTTACTGCCCACGGCCGGGAAAGCCCCTGCTACGCAGAGGCTCAAAGCCATTCAGAGGAAGAGCCACCTCTGCCCCTCCTGGCAGCCACTTCCTGTGAGAACTCTCACCTCCTCCAAGTCACCCCTGAGCCTGGGAAAATGAGGGTGAACTCCATTACCTGCGATCACCCCCTCCTGCTCTGGCCCCTGTCCTTCTCCGCCCATGTGTCAGACACCAGCTTGAGGGCACACTCCGAGTGAGCACAGCCTTCTGGGCAGCCCGGAGCTCCTCCTCTGTGGGCTAGATGGGGGCGTGCTTGCACCAGACGCGGCGGTCATCACTGGACTCCGGCCGCCGTGTGGGCTGTGAGGAAAGGTGCACGTCACGTTGGCTGAGAGCCCCAGGCCCCGTGGGCAGCGACAGGAAGCATGTCAGCTCTGCAGACGTGCAGCACACGCAGCAGCAGGACATGGGGGAGTGGAGCTGAGATATGACGGGGACCCCACAGGTGGTGACCCAGTGAGGACACCAGGGCCTCCCCTGATGGCTGCAGGGAGCTCAGGGCTGAGGGGGGGTAGGGGGTCCCCTATAGCAACACTCCAAGCAAGAGGCTTTTCTGCCAATTCAGTGGGCCTATTCCCGCAGCAAGGTGCAAATCAAAGGTTCCCATCCAACCACAGCCAGCGCAGACAGACAGACACCTGAGGACTCCCGAGAGATATGACAACCGGAAACTAAAGGGATCACTGGCCTTCCTGCGTGGCCCAGAGGAGTGACAGCACAGCCTTCAAGGCCAGCGTGCTGGCTTCCTGTCTGCTGAGCTATTCCAAAGGGCGGCTTTCAGAGGCGCCAACACGCCCTCCCACGCTGAGCTCACCTCTTCCACCATCTGGTGCCCTTTCTCCTCCCCCGGCTCAGCCACCTCTGGCACATGCCCTGCCCTGTGGCGCTCCCGCCTTTGCCCTGTCTCGATTTCTGCCCATCATGCGCCCTTATCTTTTTGTTGCGGCTTTTATGGGCCTCATCTCCTTAACTGTTAAATGACCAGGTCTGCAGTGCAGAAGTCCTATCGTGTGGTCATTTTGCACGGGACAAACCAGATGCTGAACTGGTTGAACAAAAACACAAACGTGAAAAGAAATGCTGCTGGTGCACGTCCTTTTAGCCACATGCCGTCTTTGGACGAACTCAGGGAGGCTGGGAACTGTGGAAGTGGCTGGAAGAAGCGTCAGAATTTGAGTTCTAGAAAGCTGTTCAAGACAGGCCTGTGGGCCACTGCTCAGGCTCTGGGTGACGGCCGAGGAGGGCGCACACTGGCTCCTAATTCCCCCGAATCACATGCCTTGGGGTGACGCGGTCACCTGGCTTTCTAGGGCACCAATTCCTTTCCCACCCTCCTTCCCACAGCAAAAGGGGCTGCTCAGTAAGAAATGCCGCTGCCTGCCTCGGCCTTCCTTCCAAGACCTGAAACCCAGTGTGTGCACCTTCCAGCAAGCTCCGGGTGACTCACTGAGGTCTGCCAGGGATGTGTGTGTAAATGTGAGATGGAGAACTGGCTGAGGTCATGAAACCTGGCCCTGAAAGGCCCATCTGAACCCAGAGATGGAGCAGGGCGCACAACGACGGCCGAGGTTACCTCTTGCACGAGCCTGGGCCCACTGGCTGCGAGTCACAGCCCCTTCCAGAGGCCTCCAGAGCCTCCTTGGGTGGGCAGCTGTCCTGGCTCTCTGACTTGTGTGCCAGTTTTCTCTCTAGGGTCTGCAGCCACCGCCGTGGCTCGGGAGGCCCTGAAAGAACTGTGTCATACAACCTGCTCCGGCCAGAAACCAGGCGGACCTGCTTCCGGTGGCCAGTGTGAAGGAGAGAGTGCAATGCAAACGCAGGCTCCCGCAGCCCCTCCACACTGTGTGACACTGGCCGGTTGGATACAGGGCCCTGCGAGGCCATTTCCTGTCGGCTTCGGTCACAGCTGAGAGAACAAGGACCACAGTGCTTGGTGCCAACCTGAAAGCAACTATGGAGGGGCCCTGGCTACAGGCCCCCGGCTGAAGAAACCCCCACAACAGCCGTTAGGTAATCAACAATGAGACATCAGGTGGCCCAAGGGGCATAGGTAACCTGGCCTCATTAGACAAATCCAGCGAGTCTCTGGGGTTTGTTGTCAAAACTGCTTTATGATCTTATCTTCAGTATCATGTGATTATTCAAAACACAGTGCTACTAATGCTAAAAATAAAATAAGCCCCCTTCCCATCCCATGGGAGCAAAGAGCAGAGATGGTCAGAGACATGGGTTCGAGTCCTGCCTCCACTACTTTTGGGAGGCCTGAGCCAGATACTTCCCCTCACCTCACCTTGGTTTTTCCATCTGCAAATTGGGACCAATGACAAAATCTAGGTTAAACGGTCATAATGGGTACATCAGGCAATGCATGTGGAGCGGTCATGCAGTGCCTGATGTACATTCCTGGTTGTGAACCACTCAGTCTGCATCCCGCGGCAGCCATCACTTCCCTCAAGTATCTGTTGGTGTGTCCCACCCCCGAGGGAAGCAGGACCAGAGGTGGGGCTTCGAGGAGCCCACCTTAATCTCCTAGAACCCACATAAGTGTGAGAGCCCAGTGTGTCCACTGTGAGCACTGGGTGTGCATGGGGCTACTCCCAGCATGTGGGAGGTGGCAGCCCAGGGAATTCTCCAGGTCTAGGGTGGGGCTCTGAGAACCTCCAGCACCTGGGTTTATCCCAGCTCCATGGGAAGAAATGGTGCTGCCCTCCCATTGGTTCTATCAAGGTTTCAGGGAGAGACAACACACATACATGTGCCCTCGTGCCCGATGTAATCCGCCCGTGGCCCTGCCTAAACAGCCATGCAGCAGAGGCGCACCCCAACTAGCCGTGTCTGCCTGGGCCCTCACTGCTGCGGGAGGGGCCGCTGACTGCCTTCCCTACCCAGAGTTAAGAGAAGCCCCCCTCACCTTGGGGTTTAAGACAAGGTTTCTATGGCCAACAGTCAGTGCTGTGCTGCTCTCATTTCTGCCACTCAAACACCAGTAGGGCAAGCTTAAGGCACTTCTGATGCACACGTGACGTTGTAGGTTTAATAACAGGCCTCTCTTGGGCAGGCTCCAACCCTGACCTCTGGCTGGCCACAGGGGACAAGGGAGAGGAGGCATTAGGCATGGGTGGCTGACCTGGGCACCGGCCAGCTGATCTTGCAGATGTCACAGTAGTGAAGCGGGGGTAGGGGGGCGGCGCCTGGGCCAACCCTTGGGTTTCAGCAGCCTGGTGGGAACCGGTGGCTTCTTCGGGAAGCTGCCGGCAGAACTGGCACTGGAGCTGTTCCCTGAGCCACCCCACGGGGACAAGTCCTCAGGCTTTGGGAGTGGAGGTGGTAGAGGCTGCATCTGTGGAGGGAGCAGTGGAGCATCGTAAGGACCGGCTACTGGCATGTCACAGCTTGGGTAGCTTAGTCCTAAGAAGCAGAGAAAAGAAAGAGAGGAAAATGGGTTGGTTTCCAGGACTATGTTCATTTCTGCTGCAAATCGAGTAACAGGCTTCACCCACTTTCATGCTCAAGGAAACCACCATCTCACCTGTGAACGGGTGGACGCAAAGCTGTAGGAGGTTAAGGACGAGGAAGCAGGGTGGACACCAACATGGAGGCCTGGATGGTGGATGCTGGGGGTTAGGTGTAACTGGAGGATGGGCCACTGGCTGGCTGTGCCTCCTAGTAGTGGGTGCCACTGTGGGGGCTACGCTTGGCTGTACTCATCGCTGGGCTGACAGTTAGCTCCTTTGGTCCCTGGAGAGCAAGCAGAGACTCTCTAAAGAACCACACTTTACCCCCATCCCCAGGGATCGAGAGCAAGAGCCACGTTCCCTATGACCACCTCAACCAACCTCCCCAGCTGCCAGAGCAAACACAGCCGCCTGCTGCGGATGAGCCACAGGCACAACTGGCCAAGGCCCCCTGGATGTCTAAGTCTCAGCTGAAGCCTGGCGCCCTGGGCCTGCGGTCCCGAGCTCTGATCCCGGCTGGGACTCATGTGTGACCTGTGCCCACCTCTCCTTTCCAGACTCTTCTTCCTCCTCCGTGTCATGGGTGTGAAGGGGAAGCGTGTGTATTTCTTCCACTTCCCAGATCCAAGTCCTCACAGAACTTACCCCCTTCCACTCTGGAAAAGCTTCCTTGGAAAACATGTTCAGCTTCATTTTTGTTCTCAAGTTTTACACTCTCCCTCTCTCTCTCCCTCACACCCCCACACACACACACACACACACACACACACACACACACACGCCTCTAGTTGAAAAGATAGCCCTGACACTCACATTATTTACTCCCGACTTTCCTTTGAATCTGGAATGTTTAAATGTGACTTTGATGTGGTGACTCCCAGTCCCTCGCTCCCACCCTCTGACCCTGCAGAGACCCAATGGCTGGCAGAGTGTGGCCATGGCAGGGAGCTAAAGCTGGCCCACAGCTACTGATGCTGTCAATGGGCCATAGCCATAACTGTCCTGCAAGAGGGTTTCCACGGGAGAGACCCTAAGAACAGAGAGAAAGGGTGAGGTGTGTCCTCACTTTCCACACACGGGCAGGGGTCTCCCAAGGGTCTGGGTGCCAGGGCACCAGGGAGCATGGCTGGACTTTGGTTTAGAGGGGGATTCAGGCTGTGGGTGGATCAGACTCCATGGAGGCAATGACGAAAGCACAGAGGCCAGGAGGCCCTGGGAGGGGACAGAATTGTGGGAGGGTGGGTCTGGAGGGAGAAGTCGAAGGCCTTGGAGAAGCAATGACAAGAGAGGGAGGTGAGAGGGAACAGAGCCAAATTGTGAAGCTTGGCTAATCAGGTGGCCTGTGGTGCCATGTACTGACCAGCCAGGGACAGCCTGTGGGTGGCAGAGGCTGGAGGGGTGCAGGGTGGACCACGTGCAGCCTGGGTGTTTGGCAATTCCAAGTAGAAACGCAGCGGACAGATCTGTGGCCCAGAACTCCAAGGTGGGGAAAGTGGCATTATCCACACGGGAAGGGCCCGGCCAGGACAAGCCCATCCCCAGTCACCTCTATGGACAGGGACAGGAGAATGAGGAGGGTAAAGGCGTGTCCTGGACTGTCTGCTAGCACCCACATGCCTCTTCCACTCAATACCATCCATGCTTTCAAGGAAGGACTGTTGCTGGTTGGAGAACGGCGGGCTGACACCTGGTAGGAGGGAGCAGTGGTGGGTGTGGGGCAGACTCCAGGGATCTGTCATAATCGAAGACCTGGTTGGAGTGGGGCTGGCGCCCGTCATACCCTGCTGGGTCACCGGACCTGGGTGGCTGGGTGGCCATGGAGGAAAATGGCAGGGTCACGGCAGGGCCGATTCCAGGCGTGAGCTGAACGGTGAAGCTGGCTCCAGCAGCAGGGAGGGGAAAAGTGCTGGGAGGCTGAGTGCTGGAACCACAACCAACACGAAAGCCCAGCTGTGTTAGATGGGGCTCTATGTAGAACTTGAGCACATAAACCACAGGAGACACTGCCATCAGCTGCTTCAGATGCCTACATTCATACAGTACCTTCTTTTTGTTGTTTTGTTAATCCTCATTGAGGATTTTTCCTCCCATTGCTTTTCAGAGAGAGTGGAAGGAAGGAGGGTAGAGGAGAGAGACAGACAGAGAGGAACATCAATGTGAGAGAGACATGCCAACTGGTTGCCTCCCGCACACACCCCAACTGGGAGTGGGAGTGAACTGCAACCCAGGTACGTGCCCTTGACAGGGAATCGAACTCCAGACCGTTCAGTGCAAGGGCCAGTGCTCTAACCACTGAGCGCACCATCCAGGGCCATACAGTACCTTCTGTAGCTACTAACACCTGTTGAGACCTTTCAATGAGCACAGGCACAGTTATAAGCTCTCTTCATTAACAAACACAATCTCATGACAACCCTGTGAGGTAGAGACCATTGCTGCCCCCATTTCACAGAAGAGGAAACTGAGGCACGGTATATGGCTCAACCACATGGGTGGTATTCTTTTTTTTTTTCAACATCAAGATTCCTGGATTTCTGGATTTCTCTGTCTCTATTCTGTCTGTCTCTCTCTCTGATACTCTGACACACACACACACACACACAGGCCCCTCTCCTTTCCTCAAAGAAAGTTAAACTTTAACAGTATTTTTAAGCCAAAAAACAAGTGGATGACCCGATTATTAAAATACAGAAGACTGGCCTGGCTGGTGTGGCTCAATGGCTGAGCGTCAACCCATGAACCAGGAGGTCAAGGTTCGATTCCAGGGCAAGGCACATGCCCAGGTTCAGGTTTGATCCCCAGGAGGGGGTGCGAAGGAGGCAATCAGTCAGTGATTATCTCTCATAAATGTTTCTATCTCTCTCTCCTTCTCTCTTCCTCTCTGAGATCAATAAAAATATATATATATTTTTAAATATGGAAGACTGGTTACCACTAAACTAACAACTTTACTAAGGAGAATCAGCTTTTACTGGTGGCTTGTTCAGTGGGAAGCACAGCTCTGAGGTTTTGTCTACATCACCTCATTCATGCCTTACCACCTGTAGAGAGGTGCTGGTGCCATTCATCCATCCATCTGTCCTCATTGGATCTTTCTGATCCCAGCCACCCATGCTCTGTTAAATATCGGCCACTGGTAGGTAGTACTCAATTTTAAAAGCCCATTTGTCCAAAAGGGTATTATCAAAGACTTTAGCCCAATACCAATAAGGATCATATAAGAAAATTCTGAAACATATCCCCCTTGGATAAGGGTGGGGGTTCAACTGTACTGTATTTAACTTTATGCCAGCTTGATTTATAATGTTAAGATATTTGGGCATATAGTATACTAGAGGCCCAGGGCACAAAATTCGTGCACTGAAGGGGGGTGTCCCTCAGCCCGGCCTGCACCCGGTCCAATCTGGGACCCCTTGGGGGATGTCCGACTGCCGGTTTAGGCCCGATCCCTGTGGACATCCCTCTCCCAATCCGGGCCTGTTGGCGATAATACAAAAATCTTTTAAAAAAGATGTACATTGGCTGGGGCTCAGTGGATAGAGCGCCAGCCTGCGGACTGAAGGGTCCTGGGTTCCATTCTGGTCAAGGCACAGGCCTGGGCTGTGGGCTCCATCTCCCCAGTGTAGGTGTGCAGGAGGCACCAATCAATGATCCTCTCTCATCATTGATGTATCTATCTCTCTCTCCCTCTCCCTTCCTCTCTGAAATCAATAAAAATATATTAAAAATAATAATAACCATTTATCATCTTCACAGTTTCTATAAGTCAGGGTTCTGAGTGGCAAGGCTCTGGCTCAGGGTCCTTATGAGACTGCAATCAAGCCGTCGGCCGGGCTCTATTATCTGAAGTCTTGACGGGGTGGTGGGATGTGCTTCCAAGACATTCTTCCTCAAGCCAGAGCACACCAGGTAGAAGCTGTCCTTGTTATGACCAGCCTCAGACATCACATGGCATAACTTCTGCCACTTTCTGTTAGTTAGAAGTGAATCACTAAATCTAACCCACACTCAAGGGGAGAGGATTCGGCCCCGCCTTTTGAAGGGAGAAGTGTCAAAGAATCTGTGGGCTGATTTTTATTTATATTTTTTCTTTGTGTGTACTGATTTTTAAACCACTACACATTATTTGCCATTTTTCTGCTGCAAGTTATGTTCTATGCAAGTTCTACGTGTGCCTTCTTGTGCCAGCTTCCCTCGTGGCTTCTTGTCTAGCCTGGGCCCCACACCACCCACTCCAAATGGGCACAGTCGAGAGGAATGGGGTCGAGCTGACTGGACTGACCCTCTCCTGAGTCACACGGGAGAGGCATGTGACTGTCAAGGGAAGGGATGGACATTGGGAGGACACGAAAGGCCATGCCATTGCAGCCACCAGGAAGGCTCAACAAGGGGGTCTGATTTGCCCAAGCTGCAAGGGCAGGGGCACTCAGTCCAAGCATGAGCACAGACATGGAGCTCCCTGGACTGAGACCTGCTGCCGCTGCTGCATAAGCCACCAGAACTGCACAGTGATGCTGAGCAGCTAGCTCTGTGGAGGCTCCTGGCTTCCTTGCATGCTGATGGCTTCACCTCCAGCAGGGTATCCCCTTCTGTTCTGAAGCCTTGGCCCATAAAGGGTGCCAACTGAGGGCATCTCTTGGGGTGGAAGGGTATCTCATCCTTCAGCCAATGAAGACTCAAAGGAAGGAGAGACAACCTGTGGAGCTTTACCCACCTTGTTCCCACAGTGACCCAGCTGAGGTCACAAGCATTGTCTTCACCTGGAGGAGGGTCCTACCTAAGGAAACCAGTGAGGGTGGATGGTTGTTGACCTTGTTCTACACCAGAACTTGCATAGGGCAGGGTTTCTTGATCTAGGCGCTGCTGACATTGGACCGGATCTCTGGGGTGGGGCCATCCTGGACACTGTGGGGTGTTGAGCAGCATCAGTGGCCTCTACCTACTTGATGCCAGAAGCACCCCCAATCATGACAACCACAGACACCCCCACTGTCCAGCTGAGAACTGCTGCTCTGGGACAACCTCAGTGCCAGGGCACCAGCTGGGCAGCATCACAGGCTGGTTATGCCTGGTCCAGATTCTAATCCGGAGGATCACAAGGACACTGTGAGCTGTCTCCGGCAGCATGTCTGTGAGTGTGACTATAAAAGGATATGTTTTTGTTGTATTTGACCTGAATGGTGGTGCTACGCACACTCAAGTTTGAAGACCATTGTGCTAGATTAAAGGGAGAGATGGGAGTGCACGCGCAGATGGCTGGGCGTCCAAGACATTATGCCTTGATGTAATTCAGAGGCTGTGGTGGGAGATCTATGGTGTTCTG